GTCATAAATCTTTTCAAACTAAAAGATTCTGAAAGGTTAACTCTTGGTTGTGTGATGTTTCGAGCGTTGGAAACTTCAGCTCAGATTACTGCAGTCAGCTGTTTATTAGTACTGTGTAACCACACCTGGATTGGAGAACCTGATGTTGCTTCATTGAAATTAGGCAAAGCTGAAACAAAAACTAAAGCAGTGATCGTTGTTAACGAGCCAAAAAAGTGATGCTGCTTCAGCTAACCCCATCACGCAGAACAGAAAAGGGAAACAACTAATTTTTACAAATCATGATTTGCTTGAGTGAGAAAAAAGTAGAAAAACGGGTGAATTTATCATCCTTGACTCATCTTAAAATAAAACTGGATGTGGATAATCTTACAGGAAAATATTCATTATTCAGAAACAAAACCTGTATCTCACAAACAAACATTTCTCTGGTTGTATATACTTATGCTCAAATCAACATGTGGTCTGATTTGACCTAGAAACACAGAAAAATCCGCTTTCATCTCAAATAACAATGTATATTAATCCTAAATTATTGCATGCGATCTCACAGAATGTCATTTACCATATTTTTCACTGTATAAGTCGCAACATTTTGCATAAATTTGCAAGTCCTGCAACTTATACACCAATGCAACTAATATATATGTTTTTTTCCCCATATTTATAAACCAACGTTTGACTGAGGTCCGACGAATTCATTCATTCCGACATGGAAAATATTCAACACTACCATTTGCAGCCACTGGAGGGCGCTCGAGTAATATGGCAAGCCAAGTGTCTCAATAATAGATAAAAGTAGCTACTAATGAGACACTTGGCTTGCCAATACCAAACCACCTTCGTCTTTCTCCGGAACTCCTGGAGCAAACATCAAATCAGCTGTATTTCACCACGCCGCCCAGGCGAAATGCAGCTGATTTGACCATTAAAGTGCATTTATTAAGAAAAAGTTCAACTGAGACACACCTTTAGTGAGGCAAACAAATTATTGCTTTTAGGTGGTTATCTTGTTAAATTATGAGCAAATGCACAGTGAGTCCTCCCTGTGCGTGCTCCAGGAGCTGCAAATCGATTTTTTAAATTGATTTGACCAATATAGTGCATTTATTAAGGAAAAGTTCAACTGAGACTAGGCCTGTCACGATAACAAGGTTTGCTGGGCAATTAATTGTCTCAGAAATTACTGCGATAAACAATAATATTGTTTGAAATTTGACAATAGTTAGTAATTATTGTCAACTTTAGGAAGAAATGTTGGTTAATTTGTTTTAAGTGTAGTTCATTTTTTGACCACCGGATGGCAGTATAAGACTGTTTGAACCAAAAGATGGATAGTGAGGGAGCGAGCAGTGTATCTCTAAGAAAAATGGCAGGGAGGCCCCTTGACGTGACATGGGCTGTCTCTCCTCCTTGTTTTTTGGTTTAGCTAAAATGTATGCATATATATATATATATATATATATATATATATATATATATATATATATGTGTGTGTGTGTGTGTGTCTTTTTCATTTACCCTTTATTTATATAAGTAGTCTCATTGAGTCACGAGAACTGATTTCCAAGAGAGACCTGTTTAGGGAGCAGATGGGCAATAGGAAGGTGGGTGTACATGATTGTTGAAGTCAATTATGACAAACAAAATTATAGAAAAAAATAATAATTTTTTCAAATCAGTGTGATTAAACACATGCTGTTGGTTTGTCAACCCGATTAAAAAAATACCTTTTATCAAAACCAGTGGAAAGTAGAGGAATGTTTTGGATTGCCTCACTTTTCCATTTTTGATTCATCCAGGCAATAAATCAAACACAAACTAAAGATGACAAAACGTCACACAACTCGAATGTTAACACAATGGCAGGACCTTGAAACAGATTTTTAAAATCTGAGAAATTATCAATGACCCACAAATACATTGCCTGGCCAAAAAAAGAAGTTGCAACCTGGATTTAATTAAGCAAATAGGTACGAGCCTCCTATTGGATAATTACTGCATGGGCGATTATCTTTCAGCTGCAACAAGTTATTTAACCCCAACAGGTGCAATGAGTTGCTTCTCGTTTCTTAAACAACCAGACACATCACGTGGTCGTGGAAAAGATGTCAGTCTGTTTGAGAAGGATCAAATCATTGGCATCAAGCAGAGAAAACATCTAAGTGATTGCAGAAACTACTAAAATATGGTTAAAAACTGTCCAACGCATTATTAAAAACTGGAAGGATAGTGGGGACCCATCGTCTTCGAGGAAGAAATGTGGCCAGAAAAAAATTCTGAATGATCATGATCGGTGATCACTTAAATGTTTGGTGAAATCAAATCAAAGAAAAACAACAGAAGCACTCAGGGCTATGGTTAATAGTGAAAGTAAGAGCATTTCCACACGCACAATGTGAAGGGATCTCAAGGGATTGGGACTGAACAGCTGTGTAGCCTTAAGAAAATCACTAATCAGTGAAGCTAACCAGAAAAAAAGGCTTCAGTTTTCTAGGGAACATAAAGATTGGACTCTAGAGCAATGGAAGAAAGTAATGTGGTCTGATGAGTCCAGATCTACTCTGATGGGTGCATCAGGTTAAGAAGAGAGGCAGGTGAAGTGATGCACCCATCATACCTAGTGTCTAGTCATCAATGAAAGATGTTTGTGAAAAATTAATGCAACACTGGATGGAAACAGATCTTGTGACGTTGCAGAAGTTTATCGAAACAATGCCACAGTGAATGCATGAGAGCAAGACCCCCAACCCCACCATCTGCTCCTCCAAGTGCCCTAGACATCAGCTCTCTGCTCCACATAGAGGGCTGTGGTACCTCAGTGGTCTGTGGTTGCATCGGGGAAGGCATCCGGCGTAAAAATAATTGCCAAGTCTTCGTGTGACTTAGTTCGGTTTGGCTTTTACTTGTGATGTTCTGATTATTTTTTAAATAAATATTTAGGTGTTTTTATTGTTTTTTTTTATTTTATTTTTTTATTTTGTACAGCACTTCGAACGGCTGCTCATTGTATTTTAAGTGCTTTAGAAATAAATTGGTATGGTGACCCCTGACGAAGGGAGCAGCCGAAAGAAGAAAAAAATAAAATAAAAATAATTAAATATAAAGTACAGCCCTATTATTAGCAGCAAAAAAATCATTCTTCAATATAAAGTGAACACAAATGATACACCATTAAGCATAAAAACATAGTCTGGGAATTTAATGGTAAAGCTTGCGATGGGAGGATGTGACTCAAACACAATGGCCGATGTCTTTAACTTAAAGCAACAGCACAGCAGAAATCAATTAGCGATGACTGATGTGCCTTGAAAACACTGACGGGAAGTCAGTTTTGACATCTTAATGAGAGGGGAGGCAACAGCATAGCTTTGTAGAAATGTGCCTAAATTGCTAGGGTCAATCTTACTTATTCAATTAGAAGATGTCAAAATACAATTTGAATATATATATATTTATATATATATATATATATATAAATTTTTTCCCCCCACAATTTACAACTGATAGTTCTCACCCTAAATGGCGCAAGGATATTAAGTTTGCATGTTAGTCATCTTAGCTGTTTAAAATACTAATTTTATTCAAAGATATGCTGACAGAAGGTCATAAACATAAAATTTATGTCTATTCAAAAGTGATTCTGGGTCTTTATTACAAATAAACTATCTATAGAGCCATTAGCCATTGAAACAATGCAGATCCACTACAGCAATGTACAAACATGCCTCTAATATCAGCCGATGAGTCACTGTCAGGATCTAAACGAGGGGCTCGGAAACTCAATTGTTGAACCTTTACCATCATTGTTTCATATTAGTCATCATCTCCCACATATGCAGCTGGAAGAGCAGAAGACATTTCAGAGGCAGACCACACAGCAAACCTTTTGGGTCTGCGTTGTATAATGTCATTGGTGTTATGACAGTCACAAATTTCCACCTGCTGCTCAGCAGCTTGGAGGTGTGAATAAATCACAAGAAATTGGCTCTAAAGGAACAAAATTTCTACATTAAATGAAAAAGGCAGGAGGCAAAAAATAATGAGAGCAATAAAAACCTGTGGTCTCCAAATGAAAATGGGGAGATGGAAGAAATGGTTCAGAGCCTGAATTTCATATTTCTGTAGGTAGGAGCCTCAAATTAGCAGCATTTTCACATTCATTCATGAACAGTAATAAATTATAACAGTGGATCTATACTCCACTGCTCAATTCTGAGATCACGAATGTGTACTAAAAACTAATTTTCAATTTTCAATATTTTTAGTTTGCAGAATATATACCGTAGAATGTTCGGTGTTGCCTGAAAGTGGTGTATCTCATCCTATTTCAACAACCAAAATGACAAGTCTTACCTTTTCGAAGACCAGACAACACACTTACTGCCAAAGTTTGACTAAGATTAACTGTTTGTTAGTAATTTGCGGGTTTTAAATTATTTTGTACCTTTACAGAGGGATTATTTTGTAGGTTAGATAAGACAGGAAAAATGCCATATGGTTTTAGTTTCATGTCTGATTTTATATACAAATTAGCTTTCTAACTGTTATTTATTGAAAGTTATTTGTGATGCGTACTAGGGAATTTACCTGCGCTAATTAAGAACAAATGACACGTTTTTTTTTCATTCAAGGGGGACAAGGAATAATAAATTATATAGGAAAAAAGAAAATGTTCAGTTTAATTGTAGCAATCGCTACAGGTAAAATCAGTTACATTCACCATTGCACTATACTGATAATTAGGTGAAGTTCATTTTTTTAAATAGAACTGTTTTTTAGTCTGAACGTGGAGAAAAAAAAAAAAAAAAGACAAAGCAAAATATGATGTGCTCTGGATAAAGTACTCCACAAATAAATAAAAGATCCACTACTCTGCTCAGGAGAAAATGTTTTGTACAAAACAGAATTTTATAGTATGCATGCTGCATTTGTTTCCATTCTACCATCTGTTTGATGAACATTGGTTGTTTGTGTCGTGTGAGTTCACCTTAACTTACCTGCAATCTTGAATTATGAAGCATGAACTCTTGCTGCTTTGTCAGGTTTGCATCCATGGATTTAGACAGAGAAAAGCCCATTTTGTATGGTGACACTGTTACGCAAACACAGCGATAATGTTATGCTGCAGTCAACACATACGTGAAAACACCAATATTTGTTTATCTACTATTAGTACTAGTGACCTTGTGTTTCAGGGCAACTTCTAGTGTTTGCTTATCATGAAGCTGACAATAGTTTCAGTACATGCATTTAACAGTTTCTCTTTATAAAGCATAACTTGTTTTCTGAAACAAAACGGACACAGTTTTACTAATCTTTAGGGCATTTCTAATTTAGCGACGCATGCTAATTTATGCTAACCGAATTAAAACATCGCGTGCGTCTTCATAAAAGCATAAAGCTTATTAGTTATCTTAATGGGAACTTAGCTGACTAAATATTAAAGATTTACGTACCTAAGATACTTTGGGTTAGAAAAATAAGTGGAAATGGGTCACAGGTAGAGGGACACTCAAGGGTAATTATCAAAATAAGAACTACACGCGTGACGCGTACAGTGCCGTTCCCGGAAGTAAATAAAGGATTTACTTCCGGGCAAACTTTCAAAACAAAATATCTCTCTCGCTCTTTACAGATTTAAGTGTATATCATAAAAAAATATTGAAACAACTTGATTTTTAAGAACCTAATAAAAGTTTTGCCATGAGAAATCTTAGATAATCCAAAGTAAAGTATGGGGAACAACAAATTAAGATAGAAAAGATTTGTTTTAGCTTACTAAATTTCCCTCTGAGTTACATCAAACTAAGTTACCATTTTACCTAAGTTTACTCTTTTAACAAAAGTTAGTCTTACAACTGCTAAACCACATAACTTTCATCCATCCATCTTCTGTATCTGCTTTAATCATGAACAGGACAAATCTGGAGCCTGTTCCAGTATTCAACAGGTGAGAGGTGGGTTACACCCTGGGAAAATCACTAGTCCATCAATGAGCTAAACAAAAACACACAACACTAATAACCATGTACGTACACACACACTCCTGCGGGCAGCTTTGACTCTCAAAATGAACCCAACATTCAGGTTTCTTGGACTCTGGGAGGAAGTTGGAGTACCCAGAGAAACCCACACAGGCAGAGAGAACGCGCCAATTCTACACAGAAAGTCATCAACCTAACATCTATAAACAGAAAGAAAGAAATGTAGAGAACTTAATTAGTCAATGGATATAGTTAGTAATAGCTTCATTCTGCATTGACTCATATATAACATATTAACCAGAGCGCTTCACAGTTGAACAGCAGCAGAGAACTCTGCATCATTGCACTTCCTCGCACAATAATTCCATGGTTTTCCTGGTTCTTTGGAACTAAAATAACCTCAGCATGACTAAGCACAAGTAAATACAAGTTTTGTCATGCATAAGTCACATCATGCCTCATTTCTTCTAAACGTAGAATCACAGCTTTGACAGGCTACATGCTCAACAGTGAAAGTAACCTCAGAGCTCCATATAAATAAATCTTGTGTGGAAAAAAATAACATTTCTAATGTTTTTGTCTAAAATGTATGACTCTTCAGGTTAGGAGTTTCCAGAGGACAATGGAAATAATATGGAAATATTAAATTCCAAGATGACATCAACATTGACAAAATCAGACTTGGAGATTAATATACTGTATTTTTCAGACTATAAGGCGCACCTAAAATTCTTGAATTTTCTCAAAAATCAACAGTGAGCCTTATAATCCAGTGCGCCTTATGTGTTAATTCTGGTTGCTTATGACCTCAAACCAATTTTATGTGGTACACGGTGCTCAAAAGTCTGTCAAATGAACTTATTTTGCAAAATGTGCCTTATAATCCGATGTGCCTCACAGTCCGAAAAATACTTTAATAAAAGCTGTTTCTCAACACGCAGAAGACGTTAACACTGTTGGCAAGCACACAAAGTTTTCATTCAGTCATACTGTAAATGTAGTCGGGTGATGTGCACGAAAAAAAAAACACATTTGGATGTCTATCTTTTGTACATATGGAAATTCCACTTGGCTTGTATGATAACTTAAAGTTGTAAAACTAAATGCCTAATTAATTTCCAGTTTTGCCAAATGATGAGCAGTATATGTCCTGTGTGTCTGAGGGTATTGAAGTTGTTTTGGGAAGTATATTTTTGGAAACACATTTGCATACAGTGCTTGAAAAATACAGCACAGTCACTTATGGGAGACATGAGAAAGAAAAAACTCCTGTTTCATCATGATATTTCTGTGAAGGCATTTGAATACAAAATGCAACCTCACAATACTTTACAAATTTTAGCAACATACATGTAAAAGTTTTTGTTTTATTTTCCAGTTCCAGGTTTTTTTTATCTAATGGGAAAGAAACAACAAAAGATTTTGTTCTTTTATTGTAATCACACTTTATTTAAGCTGTAATACTTTGTTTCTACTTAATTCTGTTTAATTTATTTTCAGTTTCAGTTACTAACTTCCTTGTGTAAGCAAAAAATCTTTGTATTTATTTATTTCACCATTTTTGTCTTTCACTTTGTTCATCCTGTTTATTCACCTATAACAATGATTGTTTCTAGTTCTGTTTTGTAACCTACAGCCTATTTGTTTGTGTGGTCTTGTGTACTAATGTTGACTGGGAAATACCTGGTTAATTACTTGTTGTTTGCAAATATGACTAGACAGTTTTAGGCTAACAGTGTTATCAAACAAGATTAATTTCAAGTAAATTCAATTTATATGTTGCCTGTGTTTCACTTATTCTCTGCTTTTATTCTACCAAGGCTCAAAACATTTTTTTGAGAATAAATTACAATTTTACACACTTACTATTGAGTTTAAAGAAATTGCACTCAGAGCATTGTAATCTGAAAAAAAACTTTAAAGCAGTGATTCCCAAAATGTTCATGTTTTGAAATGAAAAATAGTTGTAGAGGCTTGTGACCCCAACCATTGCTGGTTTATGTACTATTATTAACCTCAAGAAAAGAGAATGCAATTACAACATAAATCGTATCAACTACCGTGATACATTTTTTAAATATTTGTTTATCAATGCTGCTTTTAGCTTTTGTAATATTATGGAAAAAATTGTCACAAGCCATGTTGTTTTATCAATGTGGTTGAGCTCATCTGAGGTCTGAGACTGAAAGTCAATCTATGCAAATCTACAGAAGAGTATTGCTGTCAATAATAATAATAATAATTATATATATATATATATATATATATATATATATATATATATTGTACAAACATGATAAAATATTGTACAAACATGATAATTATAATGTTTAGACATGATATCATGTTTATACAATATAATTATTATGTTTGTACAATATAATTATCATGTTTGTGCAATATATTATCATGTTTGTTCAATATAATTATTATGTTTGTACAATATATTATCATGTTTGTTCAATATAATTATTATGTTTGTACAATATATTATCATGTTTGTGCAATATATTATCATGTTTGTGCAATATATTATCATGTTTGTTCAATATAATTATTAAGTTTGTACAATGTAATTATCATGTTTGTTCAATATAATTATTATGTTTGTACAATATATTA